CACCTCCCTTCTGCCCTGCAGAACATTGAGCTGAAGGTGGAGGTGGAGAGCCTGAAGCGAGAGCTGCAGGAGAAACAACAAGCCCTCAACAACACATGGTGAGCGCAGCCAGTCAAGCCCCTCGCCCCAGGGTGGACACAGCACCCACCCATTGTCTGCAGTGTTTGTGTGGAAATGGGGTACAAGGGTTGTTGGCCTGCACCCTGCCTGGAGCAGGCAGCGGAGGGGTTTGCAGTGGACTGGAGGGGTTTGCAATGGGACTGGGCACCAGCAAGGCTCCTCTTACAGCCTCGGCGCCAGACAAAAATAAATGGCAGCACCTGTTTGGTGGGGGAGAGCAGTGCTATGCCCAGGGGCCATGACATGGATGTCTCACAGCTGGGCACTGCTGGGAAAGGGGGGCCAGGGGCATGGCACCTGGGGAGCCCCTGGTGTCGGGAGTTGGGGGGGGACTGCTTTGGTGGTTCAGAGCCTGAGCATGATCTGATGCCAGCAGAGGAGCAGTGTCCCCAGGGCAGCACTGGGAGGTTATAGTATGCCCTGCCCAGGGGTCCTGCAGAAACAGCACTCACAGCATGGGGACAGCTGGGCTGGCGGCACTCAGGGTGGCATGGTTCATCATGTGCCATGCCGTGTCACGATGTGCTGTGCCATACCGTGCAGTGTTATGCCACATCATGTGAGATGCCATGCCATACTATGCTGTGTCACATTGTGCTGTGCCATACTGTGCTGTGCCTGGCAGGGTGGCTGCGGAGAACCAGACGACCCGCAGCCAGGCAGCACTCCAGCAGCAGTATGAGGAGCAGCAGTGGGAGTCAGAGCATGTCTATGAGCTCCTGGAGAACAAGATCCAGCTCCTGCAAGAGGTGAGCCCAGGAGTTGTAGGGCCAGGGGGAGACCAGGGTCTCGTGTCTGCGGGCTCACTCCACTGCCATGCAGGAGGCCAGACTGGCACGGAGTGAGGCTGAGCAGGCCACGGCACTGGCCAGAGCTGAGGCGGAGCGGTGCCAGGAGCTGGCAGGGAAGCTGAAGGAAGCTGCGAGGACAAAGGAAGAAAAGAGCAATGACAGCTGTGATACCATTGCCCAGAGGTGGGTACCCAGGACCCATCCCCTCTATGCTGGCAGCCTGTGCTCTGTGCCAGGCCCTGGGGACTACCAAGAAGTTGCTGCTGTGTGGGTCTGGAGAACTGTGGGCATCTAGGGGGGTCAGGGGTCAGGAGGCTGTGGGGAAGGGGGAGCAGCCCCAAGGCTGCTCTGCTTTGCCCAAGAGATTACCTTCCCCAGCTGTCTCCAGTGCCACCCTGGGGCTACCCCAGTGCCTGAGCATTCTCTGCCCTTCCATCCCTCCCAGGAGGATTGAAGAGCTGACCAAAGAGCTGGCCGCCACCAACCGGCTTGTGGAAATGCTGTCAGCTGAGAAGCAGGACCTGCAGCAGCGCCTGGAGGAGCCCCTGGCTGTGGTGGGGAAGGTGGGTGGGCAAAGC